GAGAGATACGGCTTCCTAAATGGAAAAGATGACATTTTAAAAACCTCCGTGCAACTTATGTCACGATATTACCCAATGCAACAATTTTTCTTATATAAAGCCATAATACAACTCCTAGTCCATCACCAGCAATTGTTGATTCTTCAAAGGAAAAAAAAATGCATTTATATTCTTGCTTTATTTGTTTGGTACAAAATCAGTCAATGTTCAAGCAGCTGGTAATGCAAGAAACACATTCCGAACATAGATGTGTACATGAATCGATGAAAATGCATATGCATATGCATATTCGTGTGGTATTATTATTATTATTTTTTTATTTTTTTTATTAGTCTCATTTTTGTGCAGAGGATGATAGAGAATTTGATTATATAAGAGGAAGCCCAAAGGGTCCGGCAAAATGGGGAGAGTTGAAGCCACAATGGGGTGAATGCAAGAATGGACGAATGCTGTCTCCCATTGATCTGTCACATGGAAGAGTCAGATTTATGTCATAGTCAGAAAGATATAAATTGCTTCCATTTGAGTAGTGATGAATTTAACTTAAATTTGAAAATATTTCCTAGAGTTACCTGAGAGATACGGCTTCCTAAATGGAAAAGATGACATTTTAAAAACCTCCGTGCAACTTATGTCACGATATTACCCAATGCAACAATTTTTCTTATATAAAGCCATAATACAACTCCTAGTCCATCACCAGCAATTGTTGATTCTTCAAAGGAAAAAAAAAAAATGCATTTATATTCTTGCTTTATTTGTTTGGTGCAAAATCAGTCAATGTTCAAGCAGCTGGTAATGCAAGAAACACATTCCGAACATAGATGTGTACATGAATCGATGAAAATGCATATGCATATGCATATTCGTGTGGTATTATTATTATTATTTTTTTATTTTTTTTATTAGTCTCATTTTTGTGCAGAGGATGATAGAGAATTTGATTATATAAGAGGAAGGCCAAAGGGTCCGGCAAAATGGAGAGAGTTGAAGCCACAATGGGCTGAATGCAAGAATAGATGAATGCTGTCTCCCACTGATCTGTCACTTATGTCACAGTCAGAAAGATATAAATTGCTTCCATTTGAGTAGTGATGATAGAAATTGATGAAATGTGTAATTGAAAAGTTTGCTGTGGGCATTTCTTGAAGCACCAAAATAAATTAGTTTGCTGTGGGCATTTCTTGATTTTTTTTCTATGAAGGGTGCCGAGACTGTTAGTGGGGGTTGTGGTGGTGGTAGTGATGGTAGCTGGTCATGTCTCATCAGAGAAGAAGAATAAGAAGCAAAAGAGAGGTTTTGATTCAAGGGTAGGATAGGGTAAGGTCCGTGGGGTGGGGATTGGGGGTTGAGGTTTATATATTATTTATACTTATTTTTTTTATTTTCTAATTTAATTAAATAACTTATTTAATATGAGAAATAAGTAAAATATCATTTTGCCATTTTAATTTGGTCAAAATTGATCAATTTTTCCATTTTTTGGTCAACTAATGGAAAAGTGGACTGTTTTCGTGTAGAGAGACTATAACTGCATATTTATGAAATGTTGGAAAATTTTACTGGAACAATATATATATATATATATATATATATATATCATGACCCCTATCTATTTATTCAATGCTCATTTTTATCTATATATATTATAAATCATTTATAAACACTTTTCAAACATGCTATTATCAATTTTGTTAAATTGTCATTATTATAACATATTGTTGGATTCAATCCACATCTCGTTTGATTCTTGTATTAATTAATTACACAACTATGGAACATTTGGATGTCCAATTTTCAAAATCATATTAATGGAAAAGTATTTGAAAAATCAAGCGTGCTTCAAATTTACTAATTTTTTATTGCAATGTACATGTATTTAATTTTTTATAATCTTATATTTCTATAATTTTTTGTTACGTGTATGTAATTCAGTGTGTAATTATAACTTAAAATTGTTATAACACAATCTCACCATCATCGCCGCGCCATCACCTCCAACGGTTATACTTCAACACACACAAAATTACAATGTGTAAATTTTTTATATCATAACTTATTGACTCACATACCAACACCACCACTACAAATGCACCACCAACAGTCGCTGCCATCAATGTTACCGCTTATTACCACCAACAGTCACTCTGCTTAACACATTTTGTGTTTTAATTTATTAATTAATGCACCACCATCACAATGAAAATCACGGTACGAGAGCTAGCAAGGACAAGAACTTGTTGATTGTAGAGGAATAACCAATGACTAGGTTACACGTAAAGAAGGTTAACGAGGCCATGGAATTACTTGTTCAAGCTACGGTGGACCAAACATTGAAACAAATTTCATATTGGACATGGAAAAAAGAGCGAGATAGATCAATTTGGTTCAAGCAACGACGATGAGGGAGCTGAATTGAAGACCCATTCGACTGCATAGTCTAACCAGACATGTGGTCGAATGCCTTCATACTGAAACCAAGTTGAGGACTACTGGATTGTCTATGCAACTGCAAATAGGGAACCTATGCGGCCGCATAGTGTAAACTTGACACCTTTTTTTTGTTAAAAATTTTGTCTAGACTTCTATTTTTGTTAAAACTCTTTTTATGGTACCTTTTTTATATCTCTTAGGCTTGATTCAGGTTTTAATTAGGGTTTTGTGGGCTCCATATAAATATGACTTATTCTTTTCATTGTGAAAACACAAAATTTGAGAGATATTATTACAAGGCATATTGCTTTCAACTCATTCCTTATCGAACTAATTTCGAACATATCAAGAATTAAATAATCAGTTATACTGCAAGACAAAGCAACCAGAGTCAAATAAACCTCAATCTTCTCCTGCAGACAATGGGAATGCAGCTCCTGGTGCCCCTCCAAAGCCGCCTCCACCCCAAGATCTGCCCCCACCACCTACTTCACAAGGACTCTCTCCTGGAGCACCTTCTGGAAATGTTCCCAGGCCTTTGCCCCCACCGCCTCCTATGGCTAATGGGCCTCTGCCTATGCCTCCTTAATTTATCTGCTCCACCACCTCCCCCAGTTGGCGGTGGTTCGATTGCAAACTTTACATTTGGCGTGCAAATGGGAAGGCCTCCTATGCAGCCTCCTCAGAGTTTTCCAGGGCGACAAATGCATGGCCATGGGGTACACCCCTCCACTGCACCTCTCAACATGGGTTAACGAGTCTCTTGTGCAATATACCATGATGCATACAAGGAGATTTGCAGATATCTCGTTACCATTTTTATTTTATTTTTTTTTCTTTTTCTTATCATAACTGGAAGTTGGATGAGATTATTCTTGTGGACAATTTTGTAGAAAATAAATTGATGAAATTGTGTATTTTGTATTAACAGTCCACAGTTGATTTGTGCCAAAATATACTCTTACTGTTCCTTCAAATACTTGATCAATCACACGTGTTTGAAGTTGACTATGTTTATTAATTTTGTTGTCCGTTTTACACGAGAAGTGGAAAAATAGCAATTCATTAAACAAAATGTGCATGAAAATTTGGACATGTAGCCACCTGATGCAAAAAGTTTTTGCTTATTTCATTTTTTTTTTTTTTTAAATTGACAGATAACATCATGATGTTTTCATTGTGCAAAAATTTCTCCATATATGCAAATATTCGGTCGATTTATGCTTATTAAAAAATTGAGCTTTAGTTTAGCTACATACATCCATTTCAGAATGGGAGTTCTATAAAAGCCGAGTTCAACATGCAAAGGGGTGTGAAAAACTAAGGGTGTGTTCTTTTCGTGTTTTAGTTTTGAATTTTGAATTCATTTTGAGCTTTGTGTTTTGAGTGTGTATTTTGAAATTGTTTTTTCACATTTTGAAAAACGTTTCTGCAAACAAAAAAATGAAAAACATGTACACTATGAAATTCTTTAAAATTTTGGAAAATCACCAGGTCCACCACCATTACCATCGACCAAAATCAACACCACTGCCGCCAACCACCATCAACCACTACCGCCACCTTGAGTCACTCACCACTGCCAAAATCAACAATACCCACCACCACCGTCAACCACCCACGACAAAGACAGCCACCGCCATTACCATCAACCAAAATCAACACCACTATCGCAACCATCAACCATCAACACCACTGCCACCACCCTGAACCACTCCCCACTGCAAAAATCAACACCATCAACTACTGCCACCACAAACAGATTATTACATTCACATCGCCGCCACCATCAACACCCTCTCAAATCCACCAAAAAAAAAAAAAAAAAACCACCAAAAACCACCACCTAAAAATTCTAACTTCGCCATCGAGCTTATATTTTAAGTGGGAAATGGAAAGCCTTTGCTCCATTTTGAAGATATCATCAGATCCCCATCGCGGTGAACTGCAGCCTCTCTCTCTTCGACCACTGATAGAGACGGGCCCAAACCACAGCAGTGTCGTGATGAATGGGTCGTCACACTACTTTTACAGTAGCGTCGCGTACCCAAGCTAGCGTCGGCACCAACGCATCTCCTTCGTCGTCGGTTGAAGTGTGCGGTCCCATAGTCGGCGTCGATCATCCACAGCCGGCGTCCAGGAGAGAGAGAAGGCAGAAAATGGTTGAAAGAAAGTGACGAGATTTGATTGTGTTTCAAAATGTGTTTTTCGTGTTTTGTATTTTTTTTTCGAGTTTTGTACAGAAAACAGCCAAAACGACATTTTGGTCGTTTTGTGTTTTCAGTACAAATTTTTTTTTTTTTTTTGTTTTCCAAAACGCGTTTTCGAAAATGGGAAAGAGAATACGTTTTCATTGTTTTGTACAGAAAACAGCCAAAACCACATTTTGGTCGTTTAGTGTTTTCAGTACAATTTTTTTTTTTCAAAAACACGTTTTCGAAAATAGGAAAGAGAACACTTTTTCATCGTTTTGAAAAATCGAAAATAGAAAACGGTCCGAAAACAATAAAGAAAACGCATCCTAAGTTTCTAACGAAACAAAAACAAATAAAAGCTTCATTAACCGATGAAGACGAGGAAAGTTGCGACATGAATTAAAGAAGGAGTAAATCAGTTTTGTTAACAACAATACACACAAGCACAATTTCCCACCACTTCGTTAACCAAATATGGAAATTCAAACAAAAAACAAAAAGGCAGTTGAAATGTTGACCTTCAGGGTGCAGTTGATGGGGGCAGTAGAAGCCAGGAGGAACGATCAATCAAGTCTTCTACCTTGCCACGGAATTTGGTGGAAAAACCTTTCGAATGAATTCTAGGAAGCGCTGATAATAAAATGTAGGGTCTACTACAGAGATGGACACTGAATCAAATTGGATAGATTTATATGCATGTTCAATCTTCTTACTTATGTTGTACTCTTGCAATATGTCGATGATACCCAAATAGAGGACAACGTCGTACACCTGGTGAAATATATGTGTGTCATCTTTTCCGGGTATATGTTCTGCTCTCGCTGGCATATTCACTCCTAGCTGGATTTGGAGTCTGTTAAGAACCAAGAAACCAAAATGTAAGAAACTTGATTTTAGATAGAATTGTTTCGAATCTTCTTAAATTCATTCACCAATCTTCTCAAGGCGTTATAGCTTTTCTTTCGAAACCAAGTGTTTAACTGAGATCATCTAAATGCACAAAAATCCCATTTATGCTTTCAGCTGTTCGATGTCTATGATGCACCGACACGGATATGTGTGTCCGACACTATACGTGTCGGATACGTCGACTCGTGATTTTTTCAAAAAAGTACCGACACGACAGGTATTCGACAGGTTCATTAAATTCTTTAAAATTCTTCATTTATATAGTTTAAATATAGTTTTATACTTATTATTGATTTTTTTATTTTTTTATTTTTTGAAATCTTTTAAATATGAGTATTTATTTATTATTTGTTAATAACTTTAAGTTAAAAATATATAATAGTTATAGTAAGAAATGAAAATAATTATTGTAGAGGGTTCGAAAAGTGTCGGTATCGACACGTGTCTGACACGGACACGCTACCCTAGTTAGAGTGTCCGTGCTACATAGACTGATGCTTTTAAGAAGATTTGGAGTCTGTTAAGAACCAAGGAACCAAAATGTAATAAACTTGAATTTAGATAGAACTGTTTTGAATCTTCTTAAATTCATTCGCCAATCTTCTCAAGGCGTTCATAGCTTTTTTTTCAAAACCAAGTGTTTAACTGAGATCATCTAAATGCACAAAAATCCCATTTATACTTTCAGCTGTTCGACAGATGCTTTTAAGTCTTCTTGGCTTAATCCGATTATGAACTTCTGAACTCCAAAGCTTTGTTGCCTAATTTAGCTTAAGTGAAAAGATGACCTGAGGATACACCAGATGTTTTGTCGATGGGATTTCATATCAATGACAACAATGCACTGGTTTTTGAAAGAACTTCAATCAACAATAAGAATTTTTATTGCAAAGTTTCATGGAAATACCTTGCTGTCCCAGGAAGGAGAAGATCCACTTCCCCATCCCCAGTTGCAGATGATGCTCGCAACCGGCTACCTCTAATATGGGGCCCCGCAACAACACTATTATCATCATCACCTCGAGGGACCAAAACAAGGCCTTGTGGAGATATATCATCTTCGATAGACTCTGAGGTGGTACAATCAGCAATTGAAAGTAAGAAGCCGATAATAAACACAATTTTGAAAATACATGACTCAGCTATGAATTATGTAGGGACTGTATTGTTAATGTTATTGGTTAAATGGACGAGGCCTAGGACTTTTGCTTCTTTATTATTTTCATAAGAAGGAGCTTTTGAGATTTCAAAGAAGAATATGGTCGCATGGCTTCCTCGCATTTATCCAACTATCCGTTTGTCTCTATTATATGGGATGTGAACCCTACCTTCTGTCACTATTCCCAGTGCATCCGCTGACATATGCTGACTGTAAGACATACGAGAGCGGAGGTGTTGGGGTGCTCGGTAATGAACACCTAGCAAGAGACTGTAATCCATTATGTGCTGTGCTTCCAAGAATTTGCTGTCTATTTCAATCTGCCTGCATACAATAGAACTAGTGAACATCGTAAGTACATAATTAAAAAAACTACATGAAAACTTGACGCAAGGTGTTCATGACACTAACATCCAAGTACTCAGAACATTGATTTTAAATACTCAGAACATTGATTTCAAATCTCCACTAGGCTTCCAAAAAAATGTCCAGATAAGAAAATCATCCCCTTGTCCATTGCAATTGAGTTAGCTACTTTAGTTGGACTTGTTGATATTAAATTACATAATATGGTTACACTTCATTGTAGAATTTGCGTTATTTATGTTACTACGTGAATGCAACTGAGACCAGCATGTTATTTTCTCATTGGAGCTACATTGATTTTCTGCCAGCTAAGACTTTGAATCCCATTGCAAAGTCATTACTACAAGTCTATAACTTGTTTCAATGAGGTAAATTACAATCCAAGATGTCGATAAACTTTAACAAATGATGAGTTGATGACTCCCTGCATTGTTAGTGTGGACAGACTCTGCATATTGTTAGTGTGTACAAAAGGTAATTGAACACAATGCCCACTTACCGTAAGAGGGCATCTTGCCAAGAAGGTTCCAAATAAAAGCAGTAATTTAAATCTAGGTCCTTAAGAATGGTGTTTTCGTCGATTTCAACCTTAGCTGCAGAACGTCCTAATGAAGAACCTTTCAAATCGAACCTTCGATGAATCCTTAACTCTGTGCAGAACACATTTCCCATTACCACAAAACGAAACTGCAAAGCAGGAAGAGGTGTATAAATGTTAGACTATTGTTTGAGAAAGCAAAAGTATTGTTGATCAAAATACTAAATGCAAAGATATATTTTCCCGAGACAATTTCTCCAGGAGACGCAGCATGTATTACCTTTTGACCACTAGAAGGTTTAATCCTGTGAAGACCAAAAAATTTAGTTATGAGTGTGTTCTCATATGTGCGTACATGGCGATGATAGTCTGGAAGCATCCGAAGCAGAACCTACACATGAGATCACTGATCATTATCGATTTAACGAACATTAGTATAGGAAACTGATAAAAATAAAGACAACATTACTTAACTAGATTGTATAATAGGTGCAACTGAAATGGCACCAGTACAATTATAAACATCATAGAGAAAGAGCAGTACCTGCTATCTGAACTCAATGTTAGGCAACTCAACGTAACAAAGTGAAACAATTGAAAGCTTACAAAGGGAAGTTGTTATAATTGTAGTTGCATGCAACTTCCGGAAAGAGATGGACATTAGAATACTAACATGGATCTTCTCTTCCCCATTTTAAGTAGAGAAAACCATTTTACTTGGATAGTCACAGATAAGCTCTTTATTTTATTTTATCTTATGACTCAGGTGTTTGAGCTTCACCTGACTAATCCTGAGGAGTGGCGGCCTTCTCCCTCCAATTCGGCACCCAGGTAAATTTGAATACGGTCACAACTTATATACATTTGGGCCGAATATTCGAAATGCGATTTCCTTCCTATAAACCCCCCTTTACGACATGCGGACAAGACCCCCGGAGGGATGACAAAGTACACCATAATTTTGTCTCCACAAAACATCTGTCTTCCAACATAAATGTCGTCTTCTAGCTGCCGCGGAGATTTAAACCTACGATGCTCCATAGATAATCCTCCTGCTATAACACTGTGCCTTGCCCTTGGGGGCCAGATGAGCTCTTTATTTACCAACCTATTGGAGGTCTTAATAATAGTTTTCCACATTTTAATTCTCCGAAGTTGTTATTCTGTTTATACTCATCCTTTTTGGAAATATATCTGTTAACGATTTCATTGTTAACGGTTCCTTTTAGGGCACAGCTTTTCAAAAAATTAATGACAATTCAGTTAGTTCTTCGTGCTCTTGATATATTCATGTGCAACAGTTCTACAGTAAGGCCTTAGCTTGAGCTTAACTCAAACCCCATAGAGGAGTTCAAAGTTTTGCATCCATCTAACTTGGTTGATTCTATTTGAGTTTACTGTTGAATATCGAGCAAAGTTTAAAAAATAAAAAATAATAATAATAAAGTGCATGGTAAAGGAGACTTACATAGCATTTCTGAATTAAAAATCAAGTGAATGACACATCCAACTGTGTGAAAATTGTTTTAACAAATCCCTCGTGCATCAAAAAATATACCCTGGATAACCCCCCACCCCCAACAATGCAACCACCAAAAAAAGAAGTCAGCATTTAAAAAATTCCAGACAAGAATTAAAAAGCAATGAAACCAAAGGAGAGAGTGAAAGGTCCAGATCTAAATATCAAACCTTAACTTCAGATTTTCGCAGTGTCTTGATCATGAAACGATCATCTTGAGACAGGAAAAAGACACTGCCACTTTTCCCAGGAGAAGAAAGTTCCCTGAGAGCATCATTTCCACATATGGACATCATGTAATCAGCAGCATCAATCTTAAACATCTCTCTCAGATTCCTGCAAGGAGAGAGAGAGAGGGAAAAAGAGCACCTTTCGAGCTTCAGAAAGAATGCATATCAAAATTTACTATGAAAAATTAATACAATTATATGTCAATAGTCGTACTTCTAAGATGCCAGGAACTAAAAGGGAAAGCGATAATACAGGAGAAAAAGAGGCCAAAAAGTGATCAAATGACATAATATTGAGTAAAAAATGTACTTATTTTCTACTTTACCAATGCAAAGAGACACTGAAACCGTGATACTGCTCCAATATTGTTTTAGATTGTGCAGAATTCACCAAGTACAACAGTTACTGACTTACTGTAAATAAGAATGGGAAAGGTACATCTAAGACAATCATGTCTAAAGAATGTACTCAATGAGAGACCAGGTGATAGATTTTGCGGGTATGAAGAAAATGACAATATTACAAATGAAGCTACTTCAAGATTGTTTTCAGACAGCTTGTAGATAAAAATGCAATCAAAAGGAAAGAGAAAACACAAGTACGATTAAAAAATAAAAATAGAACACTTCTTAAGCATACAATTTTCTTACAACAACATATAAGCAAGGAAATCACATCGCTGAAACGTAACTGAGGAGGAGTTTACTACTGGACGAAAAAGAGAGTTACAACAAACCTGAAGACCATTGGGCAATAATCTTTCCACCTGAAATCCTCCGACTGATGTGGAGGCGTCAATTGTGACCCTTCTTTAGGAAAATTCATCCAAAAGCTCGCACGAGGACCAAAATCAGTAGCCCTAACTTCTCGCCTGTGTATCGGAGTAATTTTCCCCACAGTATACCTGCCAAAATTGTAATAAATGAGTAGTTGGAATTTGTATACAAGATGAAGGTAAAGGTCAATACAATCCAAACTGAAGTGTTGGCAACTTTAATTGGCAAATATGCATCATCCCAAGAAATCACATATAACAGCAGACAAAGGAATTAATCATATCCAAACATTTTGGGCCACATATGCATGATTAAACAAAATCATATTCACCAATATAAGAGTAACTTTATCGTATGTACATTCACATAAAACTTAAAAAGTCATGAAATTTCTTAACAGAAATTCTTGAGTGATTTTGTCCATTCACAGCTAAATACATACCTTCAGAAGGTAAACATTTTGGGCCACATATGCAGGAATCTGTTAGCACGTGATTAAACAAAATCATATTCACCAATATAAGAGTAACTTTATCGTATGTACATTCACATAAAACTTAAAAAGTCATGAAATTTCTTAACAGAAATTCTTGAGTGATTTTGTCCATTCACAGCTAAATACATACCTTCACAAGGTATTCTTCAATGCACTAAGAAAACTGTATATTGTTAATGACAATAATGCTCATTTTTTGTGGATCTTGATTGTCACGGAATTATTGATACTGACAACTGAGCTTTGGGAAATTGAGGACAAGTCACATTATCTCAATTTTATTAACAACCATTTTCCCCTTAGTTTGAGCTCAAGCCACTTGGTAGCCTCTTTTCTTTGTCTTGCCATAGTTACATCTTGCTCTCAGTTTAACTCACAACATGCAAGCAGAGATTACAACAGAGAAAGGTAGAACTTGTATTAGGTAAAATATCAACTACCAAACTAGCATATAAGCCTTTTGAAGCTGTCCGCTTATTTCTGTTATGACTTGGATCTGTTAGCAAATGCTCCACTCTATTTCTGAAAGATCATTTGATTTCAATCCTGGATAACAAACAGTGACTCTTCTGTCATAATAATGCAGTCAGATAATTTAACAATTGGCTCTTCAAATAAAGAAAGAAGGTAAAGGGGATACATTTCCACCGACAACCCAATGTTAAGAAATATCTGGGCAGACAATTTAAATAGAACTCGCAGCTGTATTAAGATAAATTTTTTTCTCTTTTTTGGTAGAGAACATCTACACAGTTTCCAGATATGAATTAAAATTAAATAACCCACTAGACAATTTAGATGACATTTTAATGAAATAACAAGCATGTAATAACAAAAGCATCCACATATTTGAACAAAGGCAAGATCTAATTAGAATGAATATATGAAGAATAAGAAATGAAAGAACCGCCTGGGGAGAGGATGAAGCAATCTGCACTGGCCAAGAAAGTCCAAGTACCTGATCCCAAGCTGTAGACTTAGCATCAAATCATAACTCCTATGGCCTTTAATAATTTGTTCTCCTGGCTTTTTTATCTCCCTTGTAAGTTTCTTTTGCCTCCTTTTTGCTCTTCTGGATGATGGTGAAAAACGATTGCTTAATACAAGCTCACTGATTAGGACCCCTTGCATGTATTCTCTTTCCAAGATTGGAGGATTTGTGTCATCCTCATTGTCTCCACCTTCTAAGACAGACTCGGATATGCTAGAAAAATCATGTCCAATAACTTTCTCAATGGATACTTCTAGACTCCAGCGTCTTTCCAGAGAAACGTTTGGTGTGCGAGATTGTTCAATATTTAATAAGTTTCCCTTGGAGATCTTATCAGATGGATTACGATTGGAACCTCGGTTCCCACCAACCTTGACATCTTCCATATCTACTGAGGTAGCATGATGAATATGGGAAACTTGATTCTGTCTTCTCAAATCTGGAAGCAACCCTCGTTTTCTCAAAGCATTGAGGTATAATTGCTGGACAGCTGGAAGCCTGCTTCCGTTTGGATAGAACGTTCCTTTTCCATCCTTCAGGCCCCATGTCCAAGTTCCAACATAGCAGTCACCGTTGCTCCACATGTATATTCCAAATCCATGCATCATGCCATTAAACCAGCTTCCTTCAAAAGAGTCTCCATTGGTCCAAGTAAGAGTTCCCTTGCCTGACATCTTTCCCCCCTTCATATTACCCAAATACAAATTTCCATTAGCCCATGTATACTTACCAGGTCCTTCCGGGGTTCCCTGAATCCACGAACCTTCAAATATATCTCCATTAGGAAATATCTGATATCCCAAACCATGTTTGACATTTAACCTCCACCGACCCTTATAGGTCATATTGTCAGGTCTAGTATATGTTCCAGTGCCATGCATGTAATCACTTGAAAATTCACCTTCATAAAGAGCACCAGATGGCCATAGAAGTTTTCCATATCCATTCCTCATCCCGTATCTCCACTCACCCTCATACTTGCAACCACTTGACCATACATAGCTCCCCAAACCCTCAGGTATATTGCCCAGTAGGGATCCAGAATAAGATTCCCCATTGGGTAATAAGTTCTCTCCCAATCTAAAGCCAGTAGTTTCAGAAGAAGGATGACTAATCTCCCCATTTAATCCAGTGCAGTACCCTATGTCACTAGATAATGTGGTATCAAGATATCTTGTTCTATCTGATAATGATAGTACCCTTTCAACACCATCAACGATGGACACAGGGCCAGACATGCATAATGCCAAAAAGTTATCAGTTGCAAGAACAAATCGAAATCACATGAATGTCCTCATGAGCTAGAACAATCTAGATTTCCTGTTTTCAATCCTTTGGAAGTAGACATAAACACCACCAGTTGTGTCTTTTGGGCATAAAAGCTCGATCGCAAAACACAAAATTTAACAAAAGCCACGTGTTCCAAGAGATGGATTGTTCACGTACCTGTAGGTCAAAACAAAATATAACAACAATTCGCTAAAAATTAATACAAATTGTTTACAACAAAAAGGAATGGAGAAGTAGAGAGGATGAATGAAGCTATCAAAATCCCAATTACAGCACCTGGTTAGTGGAGATTAAAATAATAAGATTTTTAGCAGATTTTGATAAAAGTTAATAAAAGTTGTAGTTGAAAAGTTGTGGATGCCATAAAATGTAGTTAAAAATAATTGTTGACTTTGACTTTGATAAAAATCTAGATTGAAATTTCTTTCCAACAGGGTCTTAATGTCATAATCAGAATGCATTTTTGACGATAACTGAGAACAACTAGTGTTTCAACAATTATCTGTTCTCAAAAGAAAAAGAGCTTTAGCTCGCCTAAAGACCTCTATTAGTAGATTTCAACATACATTTGAAAGAATAAAAGGGTCCAATATTATCTAGAGCCATATTAGCTAATTATGTATAAATGTTACTGCCACTTCATATTAAACTTGAGCACGACATGCACGAGTGGATCCCATCAATGACATGGCAAGGCGAAGGACTCATATGGTAAAATTGACAAATCATGTTGAAGGTCTCGGATCAGCATAGGAGCAATGTTCACTAGGTGAGAAAATGACAAGAGAAGACCAACAGGTCCATACTAGACAGAACAAAAAGCAGCTTAACAGCAAGATCCTTCATCCAGCAAATCCGATCTATTCCAACAGACATTCAGCTTGAACTCAGCATGAATAAAAGACAGGGAAGTAGTTTGTCAATGGACAGGGAAAAGCTCGACAGACAAAAAGGAACAAGATTCCGTGAAAGCATGTCTAGAAGGAACAAGTTTTTTAAGGAAGGCTGAACCTGCATTTTATAAATCCCAATTAAAAGGCAACTATTCCCTTTGAAATTCAAATATAAGGCAATGGTTCTTCTCTTCCATCTATACACTCCAAAGGCCATTCCCTCCAATGGTAACCAACTGCCAAAGACAAGAAGGGTATACCTAAAACTCCACTTCAAATTCATTACTAACAATATTCTAGCATGACCGCTGAAGAATCGGCAGCTCCACCTCTCTTCGGCTTCCGTGCAAACTAAACAATGTCTATTTTGAAGCTATCCAGATGAAAAGGACTAGATCCCGCTCCCTATGTAGGGGCCAGACTAGGCAGAAAATTTAACGTCAACAACTATTATATATTTTAAGAAAAAAGTGCCACTAGTTCCAAAAAGAAGAACAAAAGACCGAACATCAACAAAAAGAACAAACGGACAATGAAATGAAATCAAACAACAATAATTTAATGATCTTACAAAGTTAAAGTCCGCTTGCCAGGTTTCCTTTCTCCCTCTCCTGCAAAATTTCAGTGAAGAAAACAATGTAATAATTGAGATAACTCTTGTTTCCGTACGTTGACTCCATGTCAAGCTCCAAAACACCATACAAGATATTCATACTCACAGACAGGCGACAGCTGTTAAAAATTACACACACAACCTAACAGCAAAAATCCCAACGTTCATATTCTTATCGTTCCTTCCAAAATGAATTTTTTTCCCCAAAAAAATAATAATAATTGTAGAGAGTGAAACAGGTTACCTTGAATATCCAAAGAAAGAGGAGACAAATACAGAGTCACGAACAGAGGTGGAATGAGATGTTTTCCTTTTTCAGTAATTTTGTGTCGTGCTTTTGAGTTTTGATGGATTCGATTCTGCGAAAAGGAGAAATGAAATCCAAGCAAAACGAATCCCAAGAACTAAAATGTGACTGCAACTGAAACCACCTTTAAAATATTAATTTTTTTTATGCAATTAGTACTATTTTATTCAATCCAACTGCTATTATATATGCCTCGTCGGTAACAATTTTTCAACTCAAAGAATCAATTTTTTAATTTTTATTTTATTACTTCGGACGTCATTTATCTCTTAACGGTAACGTGCCTGTTAATTAATAATTATCTTACGCAATTAGCCCTAATTTTATTCAGATTGGAGCATGTGATGTGCAAGTGTACATAGTATGTTAGTACAAGCCAATATACTCCAAAAACAGTTCATCTTCTCAAGAATTGAGGACTACATAGGTAATTTCGTCATTTATTTTATTGAAACGATTATGTACGTTGGCTATCGTTTATTGACTCACATTTTTTTTGTCAATGAAATTGGATAAAAATGTTAATTAATCAATTGAAATCAAATAAAAATATAGTTACCTCGTTGAAATCATATTAAAGTATATTTACTCGATAATAAAATTGAAATAAAGTAATCTAATTAACACTAAATAAAGTATAATTACCACTAGTATCATGACTAGATATTTCCCAGAAAGAGAGAGGGCATTCAAGTTATTATTGGTCAATACTTTCTAAATATACTCAAAAGTGTTTAATTAGATTTTGACATTAGGTCTGAACAAATTCTCTCTCTAATATTTAACAGAAATAGAAAAATAAAATATCACCATATATATTTCAACACTTTATTAATATACGACAAATATGTGACCAAATAGAGAGGAAAAGCACCAGATTACATAGCCAAAGAACAAAACAAGGAAGCACTAAAGTTTATAAAAATAGAAAACGATATAAATTCATTCATTGGAAAAGTGTTGGAAGAATTTTGTGAATAGTGACGCCGAAATAAGTATAATGATGGTGACAAAGTCAAGGCAAGAGTTAGACTCTTTGTCCTTAAGTCGAATTTGCCCCGCAACGGTGCCTACGGATTTCGGCAATCGACTCCCAAGATACAACGGCTACACTTGTGTTTGTAGCACTCCAAAACACAAGTACAACGAACCAAATGTAGGCTTATGTACTCCACAGATGAAATGAAAGAAAATCAAAATAAATGAAATGATTTTGATTTTGGATAGAAGAGAGGATGAGAGACGTTTTTGCATATCAAATTGTGAGGAATAGAACCCAAAGGGTCCTATTTATAGACCATGAAGGGGTGTGGACGAAATGGTTGAGGCCAAACCATGCACCCTTTCCAAACAATGCACCTTTATGAAAAGGTGTCTATTCACTAATGGTTGAGGTCTTTTTCGTAATTTCTCATTCATCCGATATTGGTTTTCGAAATGCCAAATATACCCTTCAATACATACAGAGAAATCAAAATTCTCTTTCGAGGGCGTTGCCCCCGACCCCCCACGAGGGGCGCTGCCCCCTCGACCCTCGCGACCTGACCGGGCAGGTCGATCCCCGTTTGTGCGCCCCGAAGCGGCGAAGTGGCAAACAATTTTGCCTAAACGGATTGAGTCGAGCTTTTGAGTATTTGGCCGAATTCGATACGAACTTTAATCGATTTTCAATTCTCAATTTATTTAACCAATATCCAACAAAAAGAACATAATAATCAAAATTATTGAATTTTCTTTTCATCTCATCGTTTCTTTTGTATCCCATCGAGTCATTGGCTAAAGGTTAATAAATTGTAAAAGAAATTAAAAAAAAAACTTATAAAAATGATAAATTCAGTTGCAAAGTCAAGTGTTCATGATTTCGGTTCAACAACAAAGAATTGACCCGATTTTGGTTCATAATTTTTTTCTTGAAATAGGATCAAAACATCTAATTTCGATTCTAGTTAAAATGTCTACTCATATTTGATAAACATGTATAATATGGAAAGAGAAGTGAAATTTTGAATTATTGAATAGGTAGGGACCTTACCTAAGTAAAAGTCAATTTTCTCAAACCTAATTCACGATAATTTGCTTTGCTATGTATAGTTATTACAATTGACTCTTATACTAGCCACATGTTTGATGGTCATCAGAGCCAAAAATATTGTTAAGTGCTGATGAAATTTAATTTAGATCGAACTTTGAGGTTTTAGGACATGAGATAAATTTTAAATTTGTCCCTTAAATTATAGTATGCAATATGCATTTAAAATTTTCTATTTAATCTATAAACTCAAGTGGATAAATTCTTCTTGAGCAAAATTAATGGTTCTTAATATCCCAGGGCTCAAAGCTCAATGCAGGCAGCCTAAGGTGGGTTGGCCCCTGATTGCCATTATTTTCCCCCAAAAAAAAAAATGATATTTTAAAATAGTGTTATTTTGGATAACGTGCTATTAAAAAATAAGAAAAAAATTTAAATTTACATATAATATATTTTATTATATAAATATGTGGTTAAAAATGAGTATAAGAATTAAATAATTCAAACTTGTTACAATGCCAAAAAATGGATGACCGACCCCCTGACAGAATACTCCCATTAGAGGGAGGGCCCACTTTATTTTTGGAAAATTTTTATGCAACAAAGTCCCACGATAATGTATCTATTTGTCAGTTCTTATGTTAAATTTCTTCTAGCAGTTCATTTTTATTTTAAATAATTTTATTTTAGAAGAAGACAAACATGGCTTCAGCTTATGTGATAGAAAAATGGTTAAAAGGTCACATCATCCTCTGTGTCGCACTACACTAGCCTATTATGCAATTGGGAACACTTGGACCATGGGCCATTTGGGCCCACAATGCTATATGGATTTAACTAGCTGAGCTGGCACTTGGTTTATGTTCGTTTTAAATAAAGCCACTTAGCCAAGCGTAAAAAAAAAAAAGGAAGAATGAGACCAATTGATAACAGCAAATAATTGGTATTTTCTGTTTTAATTTTTTAAACTGTCCAATTATGCATCACACGTGTCTCACCTGTTTTTGAACAGCATGATTGGTTTGCTTTATGTATTAATCAATAGATATGCTATGTCACCATTCTATGTTTAGCACTTAAAATTTTAATTTCAAGTTTTTTATTTTTTGCACAATAAATTATTTCAATTCAATTTTTATAATGTTGACCTTCTAAAAAATTTATTAGAAGTATAGAATGACCCAACATCGGTTATTAACCCCTATTTGATTCAGCTTAAAGTTTGAATAAAAATTTAAAATCAATGTCAATGATTAATTATAATCACATACTTTATACAATTTGCAACTTTTCAATCATACACTTTCATAATTTTTATTAAAATTTAATAAAAATTTAATTTTTATCTAAACCAAACAGGAGTTTCATCGATTGAAATAAAAATTAGAAAAATAGTTTAAAACAGGAGCTGAATTGGATATGATCAAGTCCTTGATAAATATAGAAGCTGACGAACAAAGATTGTGGGTGTCGTTGAGCTAATAATCCACAAAATGCATCTGTACCGGCGGCTTGTCAATTACAAAAGCATCCACCGCCATTCCATTTGTCCGGCTGCCACCGCCCTCCACCGCCGCTGCATTATTTTTTTTTCTTTCTAATTTTTTCTTTATTATTTTTACACTAGTGGAGTCTATTTTAATAATTTGAGTTTTTAGTTTCCAATGTGAACCTTTATTTGGTAGTGGATGACTGTTTCTATCACGAGAAGCACATACACCAAACGAAATATTTTTGTATAATTTGATAGGCATTGTAAATATTTTTATTCAAATAATTTCGTCTCTTATATTATTTTCTCTGTTATGCTTTATTTAAATATGATTTTTACATATATAATAAAAAAGCTGACAAAATCGAATTTCTAATTTGTTAATTATATAATTGGGTAGGTGTTTTCATTGGTCATTGCTCGGCTCCAACTAGGTTTGTATTTAATGAAGACTCTAATTAGGCATTTAAAGAGGAGATGATATTACTAACCTTCCCTCTCATATCTCTTAATTTCAAAGACACTCCCATGGGTGTCAAACAGGGATTAATATATAGATAATATATATAGTTTGATATTTTTTTTCAAGGACAATTTAAATATTAATAATTTATACTTATCAATAATTAATCTTATGTAATTAGGGGATGAATGTGATACTCTAAATTAGAAATAGAGAGATTATCGATATTTTTGAAATGTGAACGATTATATATGATTTTAGAAAAGTTAGGGGCTATCTTTGATACTCAAAATTAGAAATAGAAGATGCTAATGATATTTTTAAAACGTGGAGAAATGTTTCTAATACTAAAAATTAGAATAGGAAAAGTTAGTTATATTTTTGAAATACGAGGAGGTGTCTGTGAAATTAAGAGAAAGTTGAGGGGAAGTTAGTGATATTTTTTCAAAGAGAAATGTCTTATAATTGATTTTAGAAAAGTTAGGGGCTATCTTTGATACTCAAAATTAGAAATAGGAGATGCTAATGATATTTTTAAAACGTGGAGAAATGTTTCTAATACTAAAAATTAGAATAGGAAAAGTTAGTTATATTTTTGAAATACGAGGAGGTGTCTGTGAAATTAAGAGAAAGTTGAGGGGAAGTTAGTGATATTTTTTCAAAGAGAAATGTCTTATAATTGATTATAGGCTTTGTCCTGTGCTAAGACGCCTAACTAGACCGCTTGTTCTCACGAGAGTTTTTGGTCCCATTTTCTTATTGGTCCAATAATTGTAATTTGTATAGTATATGACATTCTTTTGAAATTTTGTAAGGAGGTCTAATTGTCGAAATTTGGCATTTTTTTTAATTTTTGTCTCTTAAACCATTTACTGGCATTATAAAATCATTGTTTGGTAGAACTAGAAATGAAAAAGAAAATTAAGTCCAAAAATATTTTATATTTTACAGCCAGTTTGGAAGTGATTTTTTTGTCCAAAAAATTGATTTTCTGACCATTATTTTACTATTACAGTCGTCATATTTGACTTCTTCTCTCACAAGTGAACCTCACTTTTGAGTTCAAAAAATAAACTCTCAAAATCACTCCCAAACATGTTCTTAATAATTGTAAAATTGAGTAATGGGATCAAAATTAAGTTATAGATAAATTGGA